ACTCAAGCAGCATCCCTGGAACATTCTTCCCCACACTGGGCACTCTAAGGTGTCATCAAAGGACCGTCCCCTATCCCCGGGTGCTGATGTAGTTTGACAGCACGGAGCAGCTCCACCCACTTCCCTCCCTGCTGACACTGGAGAAAAAGAACTGAAACATCTATCTCACCCACCTTCTCCCACACCCTGACCCACTCCACTCTTATCAGAGGCCCACATGCCCATGCATCCCTCTCAACTAGGTAATTAATACCAAGCATTTAAAATAAACAATAAAAAAGAAACAATGCTTGATCTTTGGAGGACAAACAACTCGAATGACAGACTATTTCTCATCAGCTCATGGAGGCCAGTTCCTGTTCTCTGGCTTCAACTGACCCAGCTGCTGCAGCCATATGGGGAGTGAACCAAGGAATGGAAGATTTCTGTCACTCTGCCTTTCAAATCAACAAATAAATCTGTAAATAGCAAGGAAGTAATAAAAAGAACCTTGGAACATCTGGAACGAAGGGAGAATAACGGCAGAGTAAAAATGCGACAAAACACAGAGCAAACTTTCCTTGAGATTTCCAACCAGGTTTGCTGGTTCGAGTGAATAACGTGACAGTTTGATGTGCTCTTGAACTTGCAGGAGATATTTCAGATCACTATAAATGTGGAAGGGTAAGAGGAGTACAGTGCTAAAGAGAGGTTAGGACTTCCACATTCCAACTGGCATGTTCCATCAGCACATACATGGATAAATTAAAATCAACGTTCAAACACAGGGATTTAATAGTTACCTTTTAAAAACCCTATTTTGCTGAAGTTTCTCTTTTATCTGGACCTTCGATTTTTGCCTCCCTATGGATAAGCGGTCCTAACTAGGCCTCAAGGAACACTGGCAACAGTCGATTACACCATACCATAAAGAAGCAAATACAATAAGAGCTGCAGGACAAGACAGCACTATTTCATGTGTAAATGTAAATAAACATTCTACAGAAAGATTTTAAAATCCAGCATAAGCCCTGAAACGAAATTGACTGAATCTTTTGATGCATCTTTTTATTTTACTTATTCATATTCAGACACACGGGTTCTAGGACAGAACCTCAAAAGTAAAAATAACCAGGGGCAGCTGCCTTGGCATAGTAGGCTAAGCCTGTCATCTGGGTGCCGCTTCATGTCCCAGCTACTCCACTTACTACCCAGTCCCTTCTTAAGGCCTGGGAAAGCAGCAGAGACTGGCTCAAGTCCTCAGGCCCCTCCACCCAACTGGGAGACCCAGCAGAAACTCTCAGCACTCAGCTTCACACTGTCCCAGCTCTGGTCGTAGTGGTCATTTGGCAAGTGCACCAGCAGATGGAAGACCGCCCAAGTGTCTTTCCCCCTTCTCTCTTAACACTGTTTTTCAAATAAAAATCTATTTTCACAAAAATATAAATAACTACCCATCATCAATACTAGAAGTAATCCTGTGTACAGCCCTGGCGGCATTCAGCACACTCAAACCCCCTCCCTGGCTATGACAGTCATTCCTTTGGAATGTGGCTACCTGGACTGGCTACTTGCTTACTGTATCATTTCTCTTGCCCTTCGGCAGACACAGGTTTTGCAGCCTCCTCCGAAATTAGGCAGAATCACACAAATGAAATATTGGTGGTGGGGGGGGTTGGCCATAAAACCCTTCCATGCAACATACACCACCCATTCCCGCCCACATCTGTTGGCCGTGTGCAGAGGAACCCGGTGGAGAGGACCACAAGGCGAAGGGGTCTCCGAATCACCACTTGACAAAACTTAAGAGGTTCTGACTGGAAACGTCATATAGAATCAGGGTCAGACAACACTCACCATGTTCATCGCTAGAAACCACGAGGGTCTTTTCTCCTTATTGCTGTTATTCTGACAAACTCAGGGGACGTGTTTCTCATTGCTCCCTGCCTCTGCTGGGCCACAACTGAATTCATTAGGGAATCAGCTGTGTGACCCCTTCAATGATCCTGCAAGGAAGGGATTAAATCTTCTTGAAGACACTTGCCCACGAGGCCCGGTCCCCAGAGGCTCTGTGTTGCTGACAGATTCCACCGAACTCGTAAGGCTTGGGAAGACTTTCAAGTTCAATCCTCGGCGCTAAGAAGAATCATTCCTGGCTCTTTCTACAAGGTCACTGACGAGAGAACTTCACATCCCAGTGATGGCGAGGGAAAGGACATACCCTGATTCATTTCCTACTGAGCGTTACATCGTGTAACAGGGTTCAGATGATGCTCGACTGTGAGAACAAAGCAGTTATGAACATTCTGGGAAGCTTATGCTGCCACACTTTCTAATCAACACTCAAAAATAAGTATATTTAAGTGCTTTTTCTTCTTACAATTCTATTAGGAGATTTAGCCTGTACAGCCTCTAAGCCTTTCTTGTGTCATACTCTGTGGAAATCTGGCGACGCTTATGGGCATGTCATCACGTTTGAAAATCTGGGGACTGGTTTTGTGGCATAGCAGAAAAAGCTGCAGCCTGAGACGCCAGTATCCTGTATAGGCACTGGTTTGCATCCTGGCCGCTGTGCCTCTGATGCAGCTCCGTGCTAATGGCTTGGAAAGCAGCAGAGGAGAGACCAATTCAGCCTGGCACAGCGCTGGCAGTTGCAACCACCTGGGGAGTGATCCAGCAAATGGAAGATCTCTCTCGGCAACTCTTTCAAAATAAGTAAATCTTTTAAAACAATGTTTTAAAATTAATAAAACAGGATTTTAAAGAAAACCAACTGAATTAAAACACAGTTGTCAACATCATGTTCAAGGATTTTGTGTACTTGGGGGAAGGTGTTTGGTACACTGGGTAAGAGACCCACATCCCATCTTGGGAGTATCCACTCCCATTTCCAGCTTCCTGCTAGAACACACCCAGTGAGGGGCAGAGGATGCCCCTGGCTACCCATACAGGAGACCCTGAGTGAGTTAGGTCAGCCTGGTCTCACCCTGGCTACAGCTGGCATTTGGAGGGCACATTGATGGGTAGAAGATAGCTCTGTTCACTCTTGCTCTCTCTTTCACATAAACTGAATCTGAGCATAAATTTTTAAAACGAAGACTAACAAAGACCACTGACCATGCTCTGATTCTATCCATGAATGTTAGGTTAAGAACTCCAGAATGGGGGGAGGGTGTGTGTCCCAGCATGATGGCTCAATTGGCTTATCCTCCCCTTACAAGCGCTAGGATCCCATATGGGGGCCGGTTCATGTCCTGGCTGCTCCACTTCCCTTCCAGCTCCCTGGTTATGGTCTGGGAAGATAGCAATGGCCTAAAGCCTTGAGATCCTGCACCCATGTGGGAGACCAGGAGACTCCTGGCTTTGGATCAGCTCAACTACAGCCATTGTGATCATCTGGGGAGTGAACCAGCATATAGAAGATCTGTCTCTCCTTCTCTCTGTAAATCTGCCTTTCCAACAAATAATTAAAAAAAATTTTTTTTAAATGATCTTACTTAGTTGATTAGGATACAAAAGGTCAAGGGCTACTGGAAAGTGGGTAACACCATTGTTTCCACACTAGTATCTTTTTTTCGCTGTATCTGGGGTTAGGGGAGAAGCATAAGGAAAAGCCCCACCCAGCCTCCCACCCATCCCAGGTCCCCGATGTGAAGCAGGCTCTGAGGGTCCTGCTCAAGCAGTTTTGATAGTTCAACAGTTCTGAATTGCTGCCAATCTTGCAGTTCCAATCATAATGAAACCTATTCAGAATCCACTGGCTGACATAATCTCTTCATGGTTGGGGTTCTGAGATCAGTAATTCAGCCGGAGGGATCTCCAAAGAAACTTCATCTGAGATGATCCCAAACCTGAGTCTTGTGTGAATCTGCCAGTACAGGGTCTGTAAATAAATTTTTAAAATGAAGAAAAAAGTAACTCCAGAATAAGAGGCTTCTCCAAGACACTGTTTATCTCTAAGAGGTGGAAATGCTGGTGTTCTGAAATGTTATATATTTTCAGATTTTCTTCAGCAGGCAAATATGACTCCCCCCACCCCATTTTGATGCAACATTTATTGTCCTTTACAACGATTTTTTTTTTTTGGTTTAGAAATTGCTTGTGATTAGCTGTACATTAACTCAAGAATACATAAAAACCAAACTGTTCTCTCCATAAACTCTCAGCCACTGTGGCCTCCCACCCACCTACCAGATCAAATAGGTGGAAGGGAGGGATGGGTGGCAAATATGACTTTTATAAGCTATTAAATGTTTATACACAAAAAAATAAAAGGTGTGTATTATCTGATCTGATTCTGGGTCCAAAAACGAAATTGGAAAACAAATTCCTGTGGAAAAGCCAATAGAAAAAAATACATATATACATGCGCCAACATTGAACCTTTCATCAGAGCCATCAGCTACACACACAGAGGGACCACGACGCGGCCCTGGAACCTGAAGCAACACAGCTGACTCAGCAGCCCACTGAGTCACTACTCCAGTCCAGGGCCACATGTGAAGTCAGCGGGCACCCACAGACCACTGCTGCTGGTGGCCTTGAACCGCCCGCACCTTCTGCACCTGCCGCTCCCTCCAGCTGACCTCGCAGCCAACTGCCGTCCCAAGCAGAGGGTGTGGAAGACAATTCCCAGGCGGCAAAGTCCAAGCCGCTTTTCGAGCCCTAGAAACTCCTCCTGGGATCTCACCCCTAACCATCCTCCCCTACCTATGTCCAGGGGTCTTCCCCAGGCGCCCCTCTTCTCGGGCTTTTTCCTGGGTCCTCCTTTTTTTGGCAACTCACTCCTCCGGGGATTTTTTTCCCTCCCAAACCAGTCTGACGGTTTGCTCCCTCAGCCCAACGTGTCTTACTCCGAAAAGCCTTCTAGAAAGAACCAGCTACGGAACGCACTCCGAGCCTGCCACACGCGTCCTACAGCTGGCCGCCGTGGGGAAGGGTTGCGGCGCGCGACTGCGGCTGCGCGGGGCGTGGGCGGGGCGGGCTTGCTCCCGGAAGTGGGCGGGGCTGACAGGGGCCGTGCGAGTGGCGGCGTCATGGAGGACGAGCGTGTCTTCTCGGACATCTGCGGCGGCCGCCTGACCCTGCAGCGCCGCTACTACTCCCCGTGCTGCCGGGAGTTCTGCGTCAGCTGCCCGCGGCTCTCGCTGCGCTCGCTCACCGCCGTCACCTGCACCGTGTGGCTGGCGGCCTACGGGCTCTACAGCCTCTATGAGGTAACGGCGGCTGGGCACCCCGGCTGCCCCCCGCGCTCGGACGGGGCGTCCGCGGCCGGCCCTATGTCCCTTCCCGGGTGGTAGGGCCAGAGCTCCTAGGATCAGGGCACGCCGGGGCCGGACGGCTGCCTCCTGCCAGGCTGGTGCAGTCTGTGCTGCTGTCGTTGTCCCCTCGCACGGGGTGGCCGCCCCGGCCCGGCGGGTGCTTGAACTCGCACGTGCCCGGGTGTTGGACGTGTCCACTGTGATTGCATGTCAGGAGTTGCAAGTGCTTCGCCCTCCGCCCGTCACCTCTCAGAACGCCTTACTGCCATTGCCCCCGGAGTAAGCCTGCATGTGTTACACGGAAAGTCACTGAAGGCTTGCTGCTCCCAGCACTGCCTACAACGTCAAGGTCTTTCTAAAGAATTACGAAATTGCAGACTGCGTGCTTGCTTCTGTTTTGCTATCTGAAAGGAGACAGGGAATGAGTAAGAGAGAGAGAACCTTCCACTTGCTGATTCGCTCCCCCTAATGCCTGCAGCAGCACACCCTGGACCAGCAGGCAGAAGCCGAGAGTTGGGAATCCCAGCCCGGTATTCCATGTGGGAGGCTAGGACCTGAGCTAGGATCATCCAGCATCTCCCAGGTGCATCCACAGGGAGCTGGACCTGAAGTGGAGCAGCCTGGATTGGAGCAGGTGCAGGGAGATGGGATGCTAAGAGCAGCGTAACACGCTTCTCGGCAGCACCTCTCCCTATGCTTACGGTGTCTGATGTCCAGACTCATTCAGTTTTTTTCTGTGAGCCTCGGTCGCCCGTCTGTGGAGAGGGATGAATGTCTGTGGGGCCGGTTTTACAGCCCGGAGGGTCAGATGCTGTACCTCGGACTGACATGTGCAGGGTGACTTCCAGTACTGGCTCTGAGTGATCTGACCAGGTCTAAGTACTGCAGGCCTGACTTTTTTTTTTTTTTTTTTAAGATTTATTATTTTATTTGAAGGAATTACACAGAGAGAGGGAGGGACAGACAGATTTTCCTTCAACTGGTTCCCTCAGAAGGCTGTCATGGCTGAAGGTGGGCTGGTGCAAAGCTGTGCGCCAGAAGCTTCTTTCGGGTCTCCCATGTGGGTGCAGCAGCCTATGGAGTTGGGCCATCTTCTGCTGCTTTCCCAGACCATTAGCAGGGAGCTGGACCAGATGTGGACCAGCTGGAGCTAGAACAAATGCCTACTGGGGATGCTGGCACCAGAAGTGGAGGATTAGGATGCTACACACTGTGCCAGCTCCCGCAGGCCTGTTTATTTCTGTAATTTGGATATTGTTTCCATTACTACTTCTGTTAACTTTTTTTTTCCTCCGCTATCAAAGCATATTTCAGCATTGCAGCTGGTGTGTTACGGAGCTGTTAGGAGCCTACTTGGCATGCACACAGCCCACAGGAAAGTACCCGTGTTCAGGTCTGGCTCTTGATTCCATCTGCCTGCCGATTCACACCCCGGAAGGTATTAGGATAATGGCTCAAGTCCTTGGGTCCCTGCCTCCCCTGGGGGAGACCTCAGTTGAGTTTCCCTGTCCCTTCCTGACTTGGACTGGACCCCGCCAGACTGTCATGAACATTTGGAGAGCTAACCAGCAAGTGGAACCAGTTTGAGCTGTCCTCTGCTGCATTTCCCAGGCCGTAAGCTGGGAGCTGGAACTAGAGCAGCTGGACACTAACTGGTGCCCAAATGGGGGTGTCGGCGCTGCAGGCAGAGGCTTAGCATGCTATACCATGGTGCCGGTCCCTCCCAGAAACAGGTTTTATAATATAGTTGGATTTTAAAATTAGCCACTCAAATTTTAAACCTCCAAGTCATACATTAATTGCACTCAGAGAGTAGAAACTTAGTCCAATTACAGTTCCTGGATGTGGGGCCTTTGAGGTAATTAAGAGCGGGTTAGGTCATTAGCAGATTGAGTCCTGGCAGCTTTATAAACTACAGAGACTCGTGATTTTTGCCATCCTTACTGAGCATGTCTGTTATCCTTGACCTAGTGATTTTAATGAAAGCATGATGGTTTTCTATGTATTCTGTTGAGAGAGTGAGAAAGCAGGAGCTGGGGGTCCACATGCTGCAGTTTTGGAAGAACATGTCTGAACTGGTGTGGTAAAAAGGTGGTGCCTGGGTTCGCTCCTGACCCCGTTCCTGGTCATGGCCATCTAGTTCTCGGGGTGACGCTGGCACTCGAGCGCCCACACCAAGGTGGCCTCCTCCTCCTCCATGCACGTCCCGTCATCTGTTGAACTCAGCAGGACCAAGCTCTCCCCCTGCCGGGCTTGGAGCTGGCTGGCTCCGTGTCCCAGGCACGGCCCAGGCTGAGAGTGCGTGGTCATCTTACTGCCTGTGTCTGGCTCTGCCTTCAGAACAGCATGGTCCTCTCCGCCGCCATCTTCATCATCCTCGGGGGCCTGCTGGGTTACCTGCATTTTGTAAAGATTGACCAGGAGACTTTACTGATCATCGCTTCGCTGGGCATCCAGATGACTTCATGCTATGCATCAGGCAAAGAAAGCACCACCTTCATAGAGATGGGCAAGGTCAAGGATATTGTCATCAACGAGGCCATTTACATGGTGAGTACTTGGGCGGTTCTGCAGCCCTCTCAGAGGGGGTTGCCCATCCACGGTCCATCCTGCATCGAAACTGTCGCTCCCTGAAATATAGGGTGTCACGGAGTGAAACTTGAACCCCCCGTGTTGTCCTGCCTTGTTCCCGTTTCCTTTTTGGCCAGCAGCGTGACACTTCACCTTGACAAGATGAGGCCTGTCATTTGCAGAGATGTCACAGGTTTTTATGAACAGGAAGCCTGCCCGTCCGCTTCATCTTCGGAATCGTGCTTGGATTGTGGGCTTGTCTGTTTTGTTTTTATTTCAAGGAGAAGCAGATACTTCTCCCTGACTTCCAGAACTCTTCCGGGGGTGACTGCTCAGACATGACGGTGAGAAGGGCTGGGGCTGGCTCGCGCGGAGAGCACCCCGGGCGTCGCCTGTGACCTCGGCGGTGGGGTTTGTGTCTTGCAGCAGAAGGTGATTTATTATCTGTGCATCCTACTGAAGGACCCGCTGGAGCCACAGGCCATCGCCCAGGTGGTGCCCGTTTTCCAGGTGAGCCCTCTGCCCACGCTCCGGCATTCCCACCGCCACCTACCTTCAGAGGTCACATGAGGGAAAGATTCCTGATGGCTATTTTCAGTGAGAAATGAAGGCTTTCAGTTATTTTTAAAGTTCCTAGGGCAAATGTACATTTTCGAAAATATTATGAATCCAAGAAAATTTTTAGAAAACAGCAGCTCTGCTTACAATGTATCTGACATCTGCGGTCTACTGTATTCAGTTTTATACTGATCCATGTGAAGAATTATGTACTGTTTTTAAGATTTATTTATTTTTATCGGAAAGGCAGATTTTTACAGATTTTATAAAGGCAGAAGGCGAGACACAGAAAGATTTTTCCATCCACTGGTTCACTCCCCAAGTGGCTGCCATGGCCAGAATTGAGCCAATCCAAAGCCAGGAGCCAGAAGCTTCTTCTGGGTCTCCCCCACACGGGTGCAGGGTCCCAAGGCTTTGGGCCGTCCTCCACTGCTTCCCAGGCCACAAGCAGGGAGCTGGATGGGAAGTGGAGCAGCCGGGATTAGAACCGGCACCCATATGGGATCCTTGTGTCTTCTAAGCGAGGATTTAGCCACTAAGCCATTGTGCCAGGCCCAGAATTATATACTATTCTGTGACCTGATTTTTTTTTTAAATCATTTAATGCACATATTTCTCACAAAGGCCATTATACTTACTATTTTAAATAATTGAGTTCCATTCTATCACATTGAAATGTAGGTTTATTTACTCATCTTGTTGCTAATTTTTTTCCTTCAAAGTGTTATCCATTTTATTTGAAAGACCAGGTGACAGAGAGGAAGAAACAGCAAGAGCTTCTGTCCCCTGGTTCAGCCATGCTGAGACCAGAAGCCCAGAATTGAACCTGGCTCTCCTGTGGGTGGCAGGGACCCAGGTACTTGAGCCAGCACCGTAACCATCCTTGATGTAGCAAACCTTTCCTGTGCATGCTCTCCATTTATTTGTGTTAACATTTCATTGTGTAAACTATTCTTCAGTACTGACATGTGAAATTACCCTTTTTTTCTCAGAATTACTTCCCACCTGGTGACTTGAGTGCCAGCCCTTGTTACTGCTCTTGCTTGCTCCCTTAGACGGAGGGCGCAAAATCAGATTAGAAAACTGATTAGAAAGATTAGAGAGGCCTCCCGGAAGCGTGCTCTCCAGCCCGAGCTGGCAAGCCTGAGGTGTGCCTCGGGGAGCGCCGCTTGGCCCTCAGCTGCATCTTGACCATGCATTTCTCCCCTTTGGGTTGCAGAGCTCCAAGCCCCGGCTCGACTGCCTGACCGAAGTGTACAGGAGCTGCCAAGAGATCCTGGCGCACCAGAAAGCCACGGCCACAGGCCCCTGAGGCCAGCCATGAGGCCAGCGTTGTCTTCCACAGGCAGTGGCTCCTAAGCACAGCAGCTGCTGTGTTTCCTCTGAGCCCTTCAGGTGGTCGCGGTCCACAGGAACAGGATGGCTGGGGTGGGCTCAGCTCTAACGCAGAAATGGAAACCTACCACAGTGACTTCCGTGCACAACAGATACCCCCTGGCAAGGCCAGCCTGCTTTACCAGCTGAAGCGAGAGCGCAGCGACGTGGTGTGTCCGAAGCAATTGTAGCAAAGAGCACTTTGTGAACCTCACAGCATTCAACTCGGTGTTAACGCACCACTGGAGCTCTGCAGTTACATCGCAGTCCCCCAGGCCCCTCAGGTGCTGGTGAGCCCCAGGAGACGGGCCTTGCCCACCTGGTCCTGTGTTCTGTGTGGGGTCACTGTATGAGGACTCGTCAGTAAGTACTGAGCACAGTCGCCTGGTTCACACAGCAGTTTTTTATTGACAAACGATCACGGTGGTCCAGTCGTGGGGGCGAAGCACATGGCACTCTGCTGCTACACTACTGCAAAAGCTGCTTTTGCCAAGGATGGCACTGAAGGCAAGACAGAGACCGTGTTGGTCTCCAGACGTGAGACTCTCATGTGGAAGTTGCATAAATAAGCAAACGATCGAAGCCTTTGTATCCAAGGCTGTGTCTCCTGTAGACAGTTATTAACTGAACGGTGGAGGCGAGAGGGTGGGAAAAAGTTTGACCCCAAATTCAGTGTGAGGAGTGCTCCATAAGTGCTCGCTCTTTGGAGTTCTGTTTTCCAGTTTGTTTTGTTTTGAATTCCATGGGTGTAAATGTCCTTACTGGCCTTAGAGACATAATATAATATCAGAACCGCATCTTAGCCCCCAGCCTTGGAGGGGTTACCCAGGAGCCAGTGGAACACGTGCCTTGTGCGAGGTAGAAATGTTACAGCCAGACCCCACATCCTGAGGGGGCAGAGGGCAGTAACATTACGGCCCTAAAGCTGCCTGTCTTGCAAAGTCAAGTTCATGTGCAAGACATAGAAACTGACGGCGCTGCTTTCTGACTGGGTGCAAGGGAAGCCTAGGACAGCTGAGGCCTTCAGATGGGCGATGCCAGCCTCTGCAGTTCCGCAGTGTGCCCCCCTACACGCACACACACATTGTGGGCCTGAAAGCTGCTTGTGGGTTGCTATCGCCAAAGCCACAGTGTCCGGCACTTAGAACATGGAAATAAACCTGTCTTCTCGGATGCTGGAAAATCAGCATTGAGCACGTTCACCGCTTTCGTTTCCTTCCGATAGGGGAGAGCGTAAACAAAGATCCCTCCCCTGGCCACGGGTCTGAGTGGAGAGGGGTCGTGGTGCGCTCAGGAAAGGGAACGGGTGAGAGAGGAACTTGGTGCTTCTTGAGGCTCCCACGCTCGGCAGGTGCCAGACAGGCACACTCTGTCCTCAGACTAATTCCCGGTGGAAGTTCACCGGCGGTCTCAAGGTCCCTGACTGAGCCCAGTGGGCCTTCTGTCCAGTGGCCTTACCAAGCAGCAAAAAAGAAGAGCAGGGAGCAAGGCGCCCTTCACCCGAGTGTGCGGAGCCCAGTCCAGCTGTGCGATCAGGCCGGCCAGGCCGGCCCCTGCCCTCACTCAGGTGGGGGGACCCAGGGAGAGATGCTGCCTGCTGCGCAGGGACAGCGAGTCGTCCTGCCAAGGCAGGTGCTGCGACCCACGAGGGGCATTGCAGGAAAGGGGGAAAAGGGAGTGCTTTTACCTTTGTTTTTTGCTTATATGTTGTTTTCTATACTCCTGCTAATCCTTACCCATTTGGGAAAGGAAGTCCAGTTTTGGTGAGTTCAAGGCATTCATCAGAGTTCAAACTGTAGCTTTGAGCCCTAGATGTTCAAGGATGTTTAGAAGACTTCAAGTATAAACCCCTCTACCACCCCCACCCCCATAAGGACCATATACAATATAAAAATGATGGGCGTCCCTGAGGGGATCGGTGCCAAAGGTCACGAGGCCCGTGCTGAAGCCCTGGCCAACAGTGGACCATCCCTGTCCTGGTCTATATTCACGCAGCACCCAGAGTTAGTATTCTTCAGGGTTGGGGTGCGGGAGTAAGTGGTTTTTACACTGGGTCTAGAGTTCGAAAAGCTAGGGTCTGAGATAAATAAGGCACCTCGAGGAAAGGCTTCTCAGCTCACAGCACAGAGGGGACAGGCTGGGAGGCCCATCACAGCAGTCATGTACCCCAGGTACACACGTCTCATTCCACAGGCACCACTGGTGGGGAAGACGTGGGAGAAACGTTCAGAGCAGCGTCGGCCCCTTGGTGGCAGCAGGAACAGAAGCAAAGAGCTGCCGTCCATCCAGTTCCCACAGCTGGGGGGCCGCAGGCGGCTGGGTGGGAGGGGTCACAGTGGTGGCGTGGTGGTTCATGTAGCTGGCCATGATGAGGGTAGCTTCAGCAATCTAAGAAGAGGGCAGAGAGAGAAGGCTTACGTCAGCCTGCTGGGCCTTGAGTCCGGGCTTTCGCTTTCAGAGCAGCATCCAAGCTACGTCATCTTCTCGGCCGCCAGCTTCCTAACTGCAGGCGGCTACCCAGAACATGGCCATGAGGGAACATGGCTGGGAGGTGCAGGGACCCAGTGGAACAGGCACCTGTTTGTCCAGAGGTCCTTCCAGGGAAAGGGAACGAGCCTACCGCCAAGCAAGGCAGCAGCCATCAGGAGATCAGGAGAGCCTTGTCTCCCACCAGGGAGCCACTAAAAGGAGGCCGGCTCCAACCCCAGCATTAAAGGTGGAAGCAGGGCAGCACTGTGACGCAGGGGAGGGCACCATTTCCTGCCTTGAATAAGAACAGAGCCCTAAAGCAAGATGGCTTTGTGCTGGCTTCAGGACTACAGGGAGGGGGACCTTGCAGACCCTGGCTCGTGCTGTGACCAAAGCTGGGCCAACAGAAGGCAGCTGTTAGGTGAGAGCACCTCGCAGAGGAAGTCGCCCTGGCCCGGGCCTGCTGCATGGAGGAAAGCGAGTGGGCAGGTACTGGGCTCGGGTAAGAACGACACAGAGCATGCTGTCTGCACAGCGGCCTCCCTCCCCACCAGCTCGGCTGTTATGCGGACAGGGGATGCTACCTGAACCCTCCTGCAGTCCCGATGCCAGGCGAGGGCACAAGATGTTTCTGAGGCAGCAAAACCCCCGCCATCTCTTCACGCTCCAGCCCTGCTCAGCACACCTGAGTGACACGGCTTAGCAGCTGTCACACCCACCTTGGGGGCGGCCATCCGGAAGATGAGCTTCTCCACGTGGCCTTTCCCGGAGCTCTGGTCCGGAATGGGTCTGATCACAAGCATGAAGTCATCCTTGCAGCCACCAAAGGTCGTCACTGAAGCGTAGGGGTATGTAGTATGCACTTGCTGGGGAACGAAGCCAGTGAGTTCTGGGTGAGCTTCCCACCCATCTCCTGTACCCATGTCCAGGCACAGGGGCCTCAGTGAGGAAGGCAAAGCCCCCCAGGGGTCCTCCCTTGGAGGGCTATGAGCTGTGTCCAGACCAGAGGACGGCAGGCCTTGGGCAGGGTTGGGAGAGCGGAGCCCTGGTCACTTCCCTCAAGCCTACTGGGGAGGAGGGGCAGCCCGCCCTTCCATACCATAGTGCTGTGGTCCAAGATGCTGACGCCGTCCTCATTCACAGCGAGCCACACCAAGGGGCTCTCCCTGGACGACAGCTGGGCAGGCTGGGCCAACAGAAAAACCCCCCCGAGCCCCATTAGATTCTGAACTCAGAGAACATTCTTAGCAGGAAGGCACATGCAGGGACCTCCGGGGCAGTGGGGAACACAATGGCATTTGTACAGCACACAGGATACCCAAGACTGCTTGTAGCCAGAGGTATCAGGCCTGGGGGCTCTAGCCACCTGCCAAACATCCCAAGGGGGTGGAGGGGTCACATTTAGTGTACCCCAGACGTCCCCTGCCACAGAAGCAGCAGGGAACGCTCTGGGCTGCAGAGCAGAGGTCAGCCCGGTTGCTGTCGTGGCCATGGGACATGGGCTGATGGCTTCCGGGCTGAACTCTGCCCACAGTTCTCTCCTAACTGAACTTCACCTTATTTCAACCAAATTCGGACACTACACAGGAAACCAAGCATGCAAAGGCAAGGACTCTGGGTCCCCGAGTGACACGGGGACCATATGGCAGGCATTTCCCACAGTGATTGATGTTCACTGCCACGGCTGCAGTAGGATAAACCACGTATCTTTATCCTATCCAAGAGGCTGGCAAGAGAAGGACAAGCCAGTTTCTAGAAACTTTCCCCAACCCCTAGACCACGTTGGTCCCTGTTACGTGCCTTTATAACACCCTTGCACTTTTCCTTCATAGCATATATGACAACTTGTACAAGTGAATTACTATACCGAGGAGAAAGCAGGACAAGAAATGTATGAAGGTGCTTTAAAATGCTTTTGTAAAAATGAAATTAACAGATGTTTATGTTGATGGAAAAATTCTCGAAGCCTATGTATCAGGAAGTCTTCAGAAAAACTCATGGAGGGCCTTGCATTGTGGCATAGTGCGTTAAGCCACTGTCTGCAAATTCAGCATCCCATAGGAGGGCCAGTTCAAGTCGTGGCTACTCCATGTCTGATCCAGCTCTTAGCTCGTGTGCCTGGGAAAGCAATGGAGGATGGCCCGGATACTTGAGCCCCTGTGACCCACACGGAAGACCCAGTGAAGTTCTGGACTTCTGGCTTTGACCTGTCCTACCAGCTCTTGTCATTGTAGACATCTGGGGAGTGAACCAGCAGATGGAAAATCAACGGACTGCCCAACGAATCTCTTTTCTTTCTTTCTCTAACTCCAGCCTTTCAAATAAAAAAAACTTTTAAAAATTCATGGAAATGTGCTTTATGAAAAAACTATAAATGGATTTCATTTTTTTCCACTAAAATTAAGCACATCTTTCAATTCCATTTTCCATTTGTTTATTAGGGAGAGAGTATCCATCCCAAATGCCCAGGGTTACCTGGGCCCAGCCACACGCAGGAGCTGGGAGCTCAAGCCAGGTCACCCGATGGACAGCGGGCACCCAGCTACCAAAGTCTGGATTGACAGGAAGCAGTAGTGCAGAGCTGGGGGCAGGGGTCCAACCCGAGCACTCCGATATGGGACGTGGGCATCTTAACTGCTAGGCCAAATGCCTGCCCTTTTCATTAACTTTTTAAAGATTTGTTTTATTTATTTGCAAGAGTGGCAGAGAGAGAAAAAAACCAGACATCATCCATCCACTGGTTTACTTCCCAAGTGGCCACAATGGGCAGGGCTGGGCCAGACTGAAATTAGCAACTTGGAGCTTCATCCAAGTCTCCCGCATGGATGTAGGGGCCCAAACACTTGGACCATCCTCTGCTGCTTCCCCAGGTGGATTAGCAGGGAGCTGGATCAGAAGTGAAATAGTCGGGACTTGAACTGATGTTTGAATGGATGCCAGCACTACAGGTGGTAGCTTTACCTGCTATGCCACAGCACCAGCACCTCCATGAACTTCACTCTGTGTACCCTCACCAGAAGCTTCAGGAAGGTAAAGATTGAACCGTTCAACTGTGATAATCTCAGCTGGCATATTGACATACTGGGAGTTGGACCACTGTCTATTTTCTGCCCTGTAGCTTCTGTGAACAGGATCATGATCTAGCTTGAGTACAGAACAGTGTCTTTGTTAACCTATAGAGTCCATGTATTCCAGACACCCACAAGGAAAAGCTCCACCACTGGCCACGTGGCTTTTATGCAGAAGTGAGAATGAACTCTTGCCCAAGTAGCTTGACTTCTTTATACCAATAGGCATGTATTCACAGTATTTAGGTTGCACAATGAGAAAAATAAAGCATTAATGTTAAGGGGCATTTTAGACAAGTGTGAATCTCTGTGTGCAAATTAGTAGGGCCTTTTTTTTTTCTTTTTAGGGATAACATTAAGAAGAAAGATGGGCCATGGAAGTCCAGAGTAGGTGAGGCATGGTGGAGACAGCGCCCCCTGGTGGTTGCTGTGGTGGAGGCTGGAGCTACAGAGCCGACTTGGGGCATTGCAGAGGGTGTGTTCTCCGCAAGCACTTACCTGAGCAGCAAAGAGCTTAGCACCAAAGAAAGGCCATTTCCGGGCCACGGTCAGGTAGATGCGGATGCACTCGGGAGGGGAGCAGCCTTGCAAGGCCGCCCACTTTGTGGTCAGTGTATCGGCCAGGTGCCTGGTGTGGGCAGGTGGAGAGAAGCAGTACGGGTG